ACACGGGCCCATCCACAATTTTTTTATAAAAAATATGACATATATATATATATATATATATATATATTTTTTGCAAGTGAAAGTGCCTTCAATTGATCTTCATTTGATTTTATTTTTTCTATGAAAAACTATCTTTGTTTTTATTCGAGTATTGATTATAGTCTTTATTATGTGCCAATTGATTTTTAATTTTTTTACTATGTCTCTTAGATTTTAGTTTAATAGTTTTATTATACTAATATTTTAGTGATAATGTTTAAAACATCGTTTATTGAATAAATTTAATAGATTGTTAGTGAATAATTGACATTTTTTAATTATAAAAATGAAAATTAGCTTCACTTTTTACATTGGTGATAATTAGTTTATTTTTTATACATATATAATATTTGGGTAGGATTAGATTAGATAAATTTTGATGATATCTAAATCGTATATTTAAATTTCAATTAAATCTTAGTTGTTTCTTCTTTCTCTCTTTTTTTAAATTGAGAGTCTTAATTTTAATTTTGAAAATTTAAAATTGCCTCTATATTGTTAGCGTAGATAGATATATATAAATATACAACTGTCTAAGTCAAACTCTCCAATAGTTTAAATGGGGATAATGAGAGATAAAAAAAAATGTAGTAGAGTCTTAGTCAATCTCTTCAATATTTTGAATGGAGATGAGGAGAGATAAAAGAATGTAGTTGAGTATTGTTGGAATGTAGATTAATTAGGATCGTCGGATCAATAATACTGAATCAATTTGAACTGTCTTTTATGTTGGAATTATGTTGTCTGTTGGATATGTTTATGTTTTGTTTCAAAACGATCTGGACTTCTCTTTATCTTTTGGATTCAAACTTCGTTCTACTTTATTATATATATGATATTTTTATAATTACTTTAGTCTTTTCAACTAAATGGTTTGTTCTGTGGAGAAATTATATAATTTGCATCCAAAAATCACATGTTTTTAATGAAATTACTATATCTTGATTATGATCAAGTTTGATATATCTTTTTATGATATCTTGCATGTTTTGATTGGATTACTCGTCCTTTTGAAAATTGTGAAATGACAAATTGTGGTTTATGTGAATTTTATGAAAAATATATAATTATCTATAAGGGGTAAAAATTAAGGATACCTCCTACAAGAATAAAGATTGAACGTTTCTGATAAGAGTGAGTTTTGAACTTGATCTCCTAGTATTTGCTTCCTGCAAAAGGAATAAATTGTCCAAGATCGAAGTGCTTCGATCGAAGACACTCCAATGCTTAAATCAGTAATAGAACTAAGACAACTGTAAGAAAATAAAGAAAGTTCAGCGTATCTTTCACTTTGGCTCCTTATGCCTTTTATAGAGTCTTTTTTCAGTTAGGGTTTTCATGATTTTTGATTTAAGGTGGTACATCTTCCCCTAATCAGGTGATTCTATTCAGGAAGTTGCTAAGATCTTTCCCGCGCAATTCCTTCTACTAAGCCTATTCGTTTAACTAGAATGTCTGAATTGTAGACATCTTTTTAGCACCACGTTACTGTTTTAAACAGTTCGGTCGTGACGAGGACCGAGCTCATTACTTCCTTTCCAAGCTTTCTGATCGGTTCAGTTGCTATTTGATGACAACTTGGTCGGATCTCATCCTCTGCTCGGCCGGGATAACATAGTTGTTTGTTCGGTCGAGTTTTATCCTCTACTAGGTCAGACCAATTTTAGCTCGATTGGGATAGCCTAGCTACTTGCTCTGCTTGGCCCGGATAGTCTAGCTATTTACTCTGTTCGGCCCGGATAGCCTAGCTACTTGCTCTGTTCAGCTCGGATAGCTTGGCTACTTGTCTTGCTCGACCGAATAGCCTAGCTACTTGCTCTAGTAGGCCTGGATAACCTAGCTTTTTGCTCTGCTCGGCCCGAATAGCCTTGCTACTTGCTCTACTTGGCCCGAATAGCTTAGTTACTTGCTCTGCTCAGCCCAAATAGTCTAGCTACTTGTTCTGGTCGACCTAGATAATCTAGCTACTTGCTCTGCTCGACTGGACCAACTTTAGCTTGGTCCGAATAGCCTAGCAACTTTCTCGGTTATAGTAGTCATTGTAAATAACTCTTTTCAGCACATGTAACGTGCCACGTGTTCAAGTCTAATTGTCAGATGATGATCAGCATTTATCGATCCCTTCATTATCTCTTATATGGGTAGGTATGATGAACGTGGATTACATTCAAATTCATATCTAAAAATATTAGAAGCTTTTCTACTTTGAGGGATTTGATGGTTTTTTATCATCACAGTGGGCTTTGGTTCTTTGTGAGGTGCTAAATAACTATTTATTATCGTAGATTTGAGATAAAAGGCTAGTATACTATTCTTAAGAAAAATTTGTTAATATTGATATGTCGGTATATACCCTTTTTAAAATGTTGTAGTCTTGCGGAGATTGATTGAATGATTTGTGTTTGTGGTGAGTGGACTAAATATATTCAGTGTACTATAGATTCATGCTATCAACCTACGTACATAAAATATTATTATGATGGTTTATGATTTTTTGAATGAGACTTATCTTTTACAACTGCATCGTTTAATTGGTGTAAACTAGAGATCGTTATTAATTGTCACTACTTTTTACTTCAAAAGTTATATATTTTATTTTATAAATTGAGACTGACCTGTTTTTTATACAGTTTTGAAAACTTTGTCTAAGTTTTAGAAAGTTTTTCTACTAGACTATTTTGCTCACCTCTTTTTTAACATTTTGTAGATTTTGGCATCGAAGAGAATTTAGCCTTAAGTGACTATGTGAACTTGAACCTTGAAGCGGATATAGAGGTGGATTCGACTTAGGAGGCTTAAAGTGTTATTTATCGATTTGTGATTTAGAGTTCTGTTGGTTTGGAAGAAAAAATTATTTATAGTAATTTGTTAAACAGAAGGAGACTGTTTAATTTTTATTTCAAGTTTTGGATGCAATCTTTAGGAAACCACTTATAATTTCTTTTAGGTTTGCTTTCATAATTTTAATGATTAATAGTTAGTTCACGGCAATTTATAAATTTAAAGCGTGGCAGACATCCCTTAATCAAGGTATTATTACAGGTATCATTAATTTCCTTAACAACAACTAATAGACCGTTGAGACCTTTCATTTGGTGTATACAACGTAGATAAGAAGCAATAGATTTTAGAGTCCCACTACCGAATCGAAATGTCCCCCTTTGATACCATACTTCCCATTTTAATCCAATGAAATATTAATTATGTAAATTTTATTATTTTTATTAATTATTCAAACTAAAATTTACGATTATAAATTAATTTTAGAAGAATGAGACATATTATGAAACATACAATGCATTTCAGACATATGGTCATTGTGTTTTAACCGGATTATTCTATTCGACCTCTTAAGAAAAAACTTAAATAAAAATATTTAATAGTATAATGATATATTTATACAAAATTTCTATCTCGAGTACACACAATAAAATCGTAGATAGTAATTTAATTTAAGAAGAATTACACTCAGACTCTTGATATTTGTCGCTTAATCACTTAGATCTCTTGACATTTAAAATATTACATATAAACCTCCTAAAGTTTGTACGAGCGTAATATTTAGACTTCTGTCATCAATTTCTAGTAGTATATTCGTAAGTAAATTATATTTAGACCCCTAAAGTTTATAAGTATAAAACACTTGGATCCCTTAAATTTAAAATATTACACTTAGACCTTTATTAATTACAGAACTATGAAGCCTATTAAACGATCAAATTACCCTAATTAAAGATAAAAGATATTGTGTCAATTGTCGCTTGATCTCTTGTTAGGTTTTTTAGTTTTATTCAAATAAATAGTATAACTGTATACTGAATATAATTTTTTAAGAAAAAAATTAAATTTATTTCAATAAATGACACAATAAAACATGAATTTTGATTGTAAAATTTAAAATTTAAAATATTTGATATTCTATATTTGATTAGAGTATTTTTTATCTAAGTGTAATATTAAAACTTGAGAAGTTTAAATATTATATGTCTATAAACTTAAAAAAGTGTAAATATAATTTACTAAAAAATATATTAACGTAGATGGTAGAATTTAAATATTAGGTATATACAAATCTCATAAGCCTATAAATAATATTTTAAATATTAAAAAATTTAAATAATTAAATAATAAATTTCACAAAATCTAGATATTTTAATCTATGGACAGCATCTACCACAGTAACCCACTAAACCATCCCCTTGTGCAAAGCGACGACACAAACAGCTCAGATATGGTGCATAGTTGACATCAATTGTTCACTGACACCCATACCATGTCCCTGTTAAGTCAGGCATTAACCGCGTTACCATTTTACCTGTTTTACGTGTGTTTTACTCTCACATTATTATCAGACAGCCAAGCTAAAGCACATCCTGTCATTCATTTGACTATCGTATCCTCAACGTTCGACTAAATGCCTCAACGGAAAAACATATTATTATTTCACCTGCTGGGGCCATTTTAATCAACAATCAGAAAGTCTCCACCCACCATTAAAATAATAAAAAACAGTAACTTCTGATACATGCACTACGACGCACCACCACCATATCCACTAAACCTCAATGCTTGGCCCAATGAAAGCACATACACTAGAGATGATGGACTTGCGTTGCGGAGCACTGTGTAGATGTGAAATATTTGTAAGCATCAGTGAAAGTAATTAATCTTTTTTCTCCTTATAGAAAACGGTCGGATTGGTGGGACCCGCAAATTCTGGGGCCACGTGGAGTACTGTACCTGAAAATGGTCATCGACTTCTAGCCAGAACTGACACGTAGGTCCCACACCCCCACCATCTCGATCCTCTCAACCCCTCTCTCTTTCCTCCATAAAACACCCTCCGGGTCTCTCCGCTTTCCTACTCTCTCATAAGTACTCCATTGCAAATTGCAATTTAGAAGCAGAGCAAAAGCCTCCTCTCCTCTCTCTCCTACTCTGCTTCTCCTGAAACAGAGAGCATGGAACGCTTCACCATTTCTCTATTCCTCTTCCTCCTTTGCATCCTATCATTTGCAGGTAAAAACACCTCTCCCTCTCTCTCTCTCTCTCTCTCTCTCTCACACACACACACACACGCGCACCATTTTATATAATGAATGTTAAGATAATAAGATATCTAAGAATAATTATCTGGGTGTTCGCAGGTGCTGCATTTTCAGATGGAGGTTCCATTGGAGTGAACTATGGGCGAATAGCGAACAACCTACCATCAGCAGTGAAAGTAGTTCAGCTTCTGAAATCTCAAGGTCTAAACCGGGTCAAGGTCTACGATACTGACCCGTCTGTCCTCAGAGCCCTATCCGGATGTGGAATCAAAGTCACCGTCGATCTCCCCAACAAACTTCTTTTCTCTGCAGCCAAACGCCAGTCCTTCGCCAACGTATGGGTCCAGCGAAACGTCGCCGTTTACCACCCCTCAACCCAAATCGAAGCCATTGCCGTCGGCAACGAAGTCTTCGTCGACCCACACAACACCACAACGTTCCTCCTACCCGCCATGAAAAACATCCATCAAGCTCTGGTCAAGTACAACCTCCACAACACTATTAAAGTCTCTTCACCTATAGCTCTCAGCGCCCTCCAAAATTCTTACCCATCCTCATCCGGATCCTTCCGACCCGAACTCCTCGAACCTGTTTTCCAACCAATGCTAGATTTTCTTCGACAAACCGGATCGTACCTCATGGTCAATGCTTACCCGTTTTTCGCATACGAATCCAACGCCGACGTTATCTCTCTGGACTATGCTCTGTTTCGTGAAAACCCAGGCGTCGTCGACTCCGGCAATGGCTTACGCTATTTCAGTCTGTTTGATGCTCAAATCGACGCCGTTTTCGCGGCAATGTCGGCTTTGAAGTACGATGATATCAACATTGTCATAACGGAGACTGGTTGGCCGTCAAAGGGTGATGAGAATGAAGTCGGAGCCAGTTTAGAGAACGCCGCTGCGTATAACGGCAACTTGGTCCGACGGGTGCTCAACGGCGGTGGGACCCCATTAAGGCCCAAAGCAGATCTGACCGTTTATCTCTTCGCTCTCTTCAACGAGAACGAGAAAAATGGGCCCACTTCGGAGAGAAACTACGGTCTCTTCTACCCTAGTGAAGAGAAGGTTTATGATATACCATTTACAGTGGAGGGATTGAAGAACTACCGGGACAAGCCGTCTCCGGTGGGTGGTCAAAGGGTGTCCCCGCCGGTCAACGGTGGAGGGAATGTGTCGACGAGTGTCTCGGGACAGACATGGTGTGTGGCTAGTGGGGATGCGGGAAAGACTAAGCTGCAAGCGGCACTAGATTATGCTTGTGGTGAGGGTGGGGCTGATTGCCATCCGATCCAACCAGGGTCCACGTGTTACAATCCTAACACAATCGAGGCTCACGCTTCGTTCGCGTTCAACAGCTATTATCAGAAGAAAGCACGTGCGATTGGCACCTGCTATTTTGGTGGGGCCGCGTACATCGTCACTCAGCCGCCTAGTACGTATCCTATCCCTGCTCTAGTTTTTTATTTGTAATTAGGCGCATGTTACAACTTTATTCAGTTCTTGATTTGCTAAACATAGATTCCTAGGCGCATGTTAGCAAATAATGTAGTTGGTTGCTAAGGTGCGCCGGAATCCTATGGGTCCAAAGTGAAATGCACTGCAGGTATAGAGAGACCGAAAAGTTGGTGCACGCCAGGTCAGAGAAGACCACGTTTCACTGTATGGACCTGTTTTAGATGAAGTAGAGTCAAATTGGCCAATGTTTTATTTTTTCCACTCCTAATTTGTTAACAGTGGGATTAACAAATTAGGAGTAGACTAAAATTTTAGCTCGAACTCAGACTTGTAAGTACAAAAAAAATAAAATAAATCGAACGACTTTAAACAAGAATCCAAACAAAACAATCGAGCTCAACCCAAACCAACTACCAAAAGCTCTAGAAGTTTGGCTCGATTTTCACCCATATCAGCAAGAAAAAAACTAGATAATGTCCAATGTGCGTGGCTTACATAATTTAATGTCAGCTACGTCGTTCGTTGTTTATTTCATGAGTCTAAAGAACGCATGATTGAGAGTATTCATCCAAATATCTTCTTGGAAAGGGAAAAATATGAGTTTTGCTGGTGGATAATGGAAAAATTGTTGAAAGAACACCACTTTTTCTTTTGTGGGTGACTTTTGTTTTTAGTCAGATTTTGTGTGCGACTTGACTCTTTCCTTTATTTCCTTTTTTTTTTTTTTTTATTTGCGTCTAAAAGAAACTTATTTGTCTATGCAGAATTTGGGAAGTGCGAGTTCCCAACTGGATATACTGAAGACAAAGGCATGGAGGGTAAGGACTAAGGATTGATTGAAGATGGAAAAAGGGTGTGGAGTGGTTGAAGGATAGGGAGTTCTTACTATTTGTTTTAGGTCTTTTTGGTACCTTTTTTTTATGGGGTGGTTATGTATTTATTTTGAGTAGTTGGAGTTGTTAGAAATCAATTACTTGCTCTATCTTTTGTATGTAATTAACAACAGCTAATATATTCTCTTCTGTTTCTTCCAACTTTCACCTTGTATTTATTTCTATCTTCAACTACCTTCCCTCCTTCTCTCTCCACTACCCTTTTTTTTTCCTTCTCCCTCCCCTCCTTTGTGTGCAGAATTTAGAGTAGGGAATTTACTGCCCAGCGTCTACTTGTCGAGTAAAAATGGTGTAGAAGCCAGTGACGGTTCAAGTCTAGTATCGAATACGACTAGTTAAAATATGTCTAAGGTTAAGTTTGGTAACGTAGGTCATACTATCTCAGGTCAGGAACTCAGTTCATTTAGGTTATCTGCAGACCTTGACTTTAGATCTCAAGTTTCCTGTGTCTGCGTCTCAAGGGAGGTTGTTCAGACGACAGCTAGATTCTAGCAAGTACCCCCTCAATAGCAATAGTTACTTATCAAGTGTAAGACTCGTAATCGTCCCAACACCCACCGCAGTTGTCGCACAATAAAAACGATCGTTACAAGAAAGGGGCAACGATCTTGCCTCAGATTAAGCTAGGCCCAGGGATAACTATAAATAAGAGGCAAAATCCTTGACAAAAACAACAAGCAATTGTATCTTCACTAAAAAAATCTCTGTAAACTCCACAGTTATCAATATATTCCTGGGAGTAAGAGATTCTTTTGAGAATAGATTAGTCAAACTCTTGAGTTGGTGAACTATTATAAACACTGTGTGATAACCCTTATTCCCAGATCTTATTTCCAAAAGCCTTGGAGTTTAGACTGAACTAAATCAAACTGTTTAGTACACCTTACATTCATTCTTTTGTTCGATCGTGTTAATAACATCATCACTCTCCAACTTACTCTCTATTTCTCATTTGACTCAATTGGTTCTCCAAATGTGGAGAGTCATTTAACCTCTCTAAATTTTCTATCGCTTTATCTCTCTATCTCTCTCTATATATGATGTATTCTTTTTAAATTATTGAAAATTAGTGAAATGTGAGTAAAATAATTAGTTAAAATAGAGAGTATATTGAAATGAACTTATAAAAATAATTAGTTAAAATAAAAAATATAATATTTAAATATATTTTAACTACCTATTTTAGAAAGCCAAGTTGAAGATGATCTAACAATACTAAACTCATAAAAGCAACCAATTATGAGCCTACTTTGGATTGCGGTAATCAAGAGTAGGAAATGGGATTGTGATTACCAAGAAGGTGATACTTTATGGTAATTTAGTGTTGTAAAAAAAGTCAAACATTTGTGCTGCTTACTTTATTGTTTAATTATTGTGCTTCTTACTTTATGTATTTAATATTAATAAATTAAAATTTTAATTTATAAAAATATAATGATAATCAATATTGATCCAATTTTTTTACTTTTGATCTAATAGTGCGAAATTCATTCTAATTTTTTTTTGTCCTACTTAAAAACGTTACTTTCTTTGTACGACTCTTTAATATCAGACAATTCAATCAACACTCCTCAATGTCAAACAATTTTATTAATCTACACCTAATTCTGATTTCTCTTTCCTCTACGTCTCTCTAATCATTTTAATTTTAAATTATATAATTAAATTAATTATTATTTAAAAAATAAAATTGCACGACTAATGTTCAGTTTTTGGTATTGCAAAATATATTCGGACCCAAAATTATTGCTAGTGATTTAATATCCGATAAATCTCATTAACAAACAACCATAATGTATAACCCTTATAGATCATTTAGTGGTCAAGTTTGTCCTCTTACAAATATGATGTCAAGTTTGGTATTTCTCACACTCTTTAAGGGTCAATCATTTTTATTTTTTGGGAGTCAGTCACCCTTGTTTCTCATGAGACATGTTTTTAAACTAATTCGAGTTACAATAATTAGTCTTAGAGCTTGAGGAAGTAGTCGACACAAATCTGAATACACTGTAATAAAAATAAAAAACCATAGTGTATTTGGTACCGCAAAAGTGGACTCAATTTTATGTTTTTGCTAAGGGGTGGCTGCCATGTGCCTAAGACCCCCAACCCTATACTAAAAAACAATGAAATTCATATACTTATTTAGTTCCTCTATTTTTATCTTTGTGGTCTGTAGTGCAGATTCTTCATTGTAGAATAACTCACACATGAAGGTGGGAGTGCTGCTTTGTCAGATATGCTCTCTCTCTCTCTCTCTCTCTCTCTAAAAATCTCACGGCAGGTTGCAGCAGAGATTCTTTTTGCGTCCCCTCTCTATCACATATACTGCCAATTCACATGCTGTATTATTGCCTCTACTTCCATTGTATTTATGAGATTCTTGTCCATTTCACAGAGCTTAGACTTTGCTACAGGAAGTTTTTAGACACTTGTGAGGTACACTAAAAAAGATTGGACATTGCATACAAAAATCAACTTGTATTCACCCCCTTCATATAGTTTCGTATGACAAAACTTCTGTGATACTTTGAGGTCGCAAGTTTGAGTCTCGTTGGAGATTCTTTATAACATGATGCATGTGGTTTATGTGTGATTACGTACACCCGGAGTTTATATAATAGTCACGAGTCCAAAAGATGCATGTTTGGAATAATTCTTGGTCATAAAAAAAAAAGTTAATTTGGCTGGTGTGAATATATAATAAATTTAGTATATAACTCCAAGGACAGTAAAAGTGATAATAGAGACGAGCTGTAAGCTTAGTCGTCTTGAGTTTGAATTTGGACAATTGCTTAAGACCAGACCTTGAAGAATTTATCCCTCGTGAATACTTTAGTTTCGGCCTTTAATCGGACAAAAAAATATTTATTGAAGTGTACGTAAGTTATATCAAGACCATTGAAAAAAGGAAAGAAAGATATAAAGTATATGATTGTTTTCTATGTTCAGGTGGCAATACAAGACAATCTAAGATAAAAAAGAAAGGGTTTAGGTAAACATTAAATCAAAAGCAAAGAGTAAAACAACCATAGAAAGGGGTCAGAGAGAGAGAATACAAGAATCACAAAAACAAAGCAAGCAAACATGGAGAAAAGATCATAAATCCCACAATAGTACAAATGTTACTGAGATGTACACTCAGCACATGACATGATGAGTGGTCTAGAACAGACCCAAGATTTAGGCTTGAGAGAGAGAGAGAGAGAGAGAGAGAGAGGGGGGGGAGAGGGATCAACTCTTTAGATATCTAAGTGGGTATTTGGGAAAATAGCTGGAAGTTGGGGGGTATAAACTTTAACATTGAAAGAATTACTTCACAAATTCATGCCAGAACGAGTGGACCGTTAACGTGACACCAGATTACAGGGTTTGTGTCTTTTTTAAACTATCCGTTTTACAAACGAGTGGATCTGATTATATACAATTTATAAACAAATCGGGTATGAGTAAAATTAATCAAAAAAAATACACGATACAATTCACTTACATACTAGTTACACACAATTCGTACACGACAAGAACTGAATATGACACGTTTCATTAAACACGAATTAATAAAACGAGTCGGGTATAGGTAGAATATTTTTTAACACAAATCTGTTAAAATTAAATACAAACCCATCTTATCTGACACAATTAAAAGATTCAACGATCATGCCTCTTTCCTAGATCATCTATCATTGCTTACAATGATGGAATCTAATCAACTAACATTGTTAGATTAAAAGTAGGTTTCATTTAACATTAGAATTTACAAATAATTCAATATTTACATTAAATTAAATTATTAATTATGTTCTCCAATTAAGTATTTACGGAATTTTTTGCGTTGGGTTTTTATAAGTGAAGCTAGGCTTGAGGCATTAACCAAAATTCCCAAACCAAGCCCAAGATAACACTTTGCTAGCCCATTTAGGTTCTCCATCATTGTGAACAAAAGGGTGGATCTGTCCAGCAGTGCAACATCATTGGTCCAGTAAACACGACTTATACACAATAAAAAATGGGGCTATAAATTGATCGAACACGAGTCGCGTATACCTTGGCATGAAACAAATTTAAGATATAAGATTTACCCTTTAAGAACATTTCAACCCAAAGATTAGGGGTATCTAAATATGACATGATCCGTTAACACGACATAAAGAAATACACGACACGATTCGTTTATATACCAATTATATACGACACGAACTAAATACAACATGATTCGTTAGACACAAATTAATAAACGAATTAAGTATAAATAGATTGTTTTTTAACAATAACTTGTTCATGACCAAAAAAAAAATAACATGAACTTGATAAGATTCGATACAAACTCGCCTTGTATGAGACAATTGACATGCATATCAAAGTTTGCCCTGGCTAATTATAGTGTTTTTCAAGCACTTGCCCGAGTAAGGCTTCCCTGTTGGCTAGTCCACACATTACCCTTTCTTTCTTTTTTATACCAGTCGACACATCACACTAACTCTCCCTCTATCTGTCTCTCCGGTTAATACATTCCAAGCTATTCTAACGACTGGGTCAACAAATTGCTTATTTTTCTCCCATCTATGGGGCCATGAGAGACTCAAGGACAGCCCAACTCATTTCTCCTCAGAAGAATATCTATTCACAAATCTAACTCCTAAAACAATTCTCTCTCTCTCTCTCTCTCTCTCTAATCAAAATCTCCAAGAAAATACATCTTTTATTTCCCTTCAATCAAACACCTCTATATTGTGAACAAACAAGCACAGATCAAGAACTTGTTACTTCTTTCCAAACGTGCATTACCCTTAACATTCATAACTTGCATTGGAGCCAAACAACAGATCAAAAAGACCAGGAAGAAGAATAAAATTTGGAAGACAAACAATCAGAACAAGAGAATTGGGTTCAATGGGTGAGTGAAAAATCAAGCTTTCTCCGAATACTAATTAAAACCAACAATGCCTAGCAAGCTACAGAAGGCCATTGGAGCAGTGAAGGATCAGACAAGCATTAGCCTTGCCAAGGTTGCAAGCAACAATTCCTCCAACCTTGAGGTTGCAGTGCTCAAAGCCACCACCCACGATGATGTTCCAATCGACGAGCGGTATGTCGCCGAAGTCCTCGACCTCGTCTCATCCAACAAAGTCTACGCTGCGGCCTGTGCAAGAGCCATCGGAAAAAGAATAGGCCGGACTCGGAATTGGATTGTTGCCCTCAAATCCTTGGTTCTTGTTCTTCGAATATTTCAAAATGGTGATCCATATTTCCCTAGAGAAGTCCTCCATGCAATGAAAAGAGGTGCCAAAATACTCAACCTCTCGAGCTTTCGTGATGACTCAAACACTAGCCCGTGGGACTTCACTGCCTTTATTCGAACATTTGCTCTTTATCTTGATGAGCGTTTGGATTGTTTTCTCACCGGGAAACTCCAACGTAGATATACACACCGGCAGAGGGAGACATCCCACCGGAGCCGGAGGCCAAACGAGCCCGTTCGTGACATGAAACCTGCAATGCTACTCGATAGAATTTCATTTTGGCAACGTTTGCTTGAACGAGCCATTGCCACTAGGCCAACCGGTGCAGCCAAGACCAACCGGTTGGTGCAAATCTCTCTCCTCGCCGTTGTTCAAGAGAGTTTTGATCTTTACAAAGACATTTCCGATGGGCTCGCGCTTCTTCTTGATAGTTTCTTCCATTTGCAATACCAATCTTGCGTGAACGCATTTCAAACTTGTGTCAAGGCTGCAAAACAATTCGAAGAGCTTGGTGCCTTTTATACTCTATGTAAAAACATTGGTGTTGGGAGGACTTCTGAATACCCATGTGTACAAACAATATCTGAAGAGCTAATAGAAACATTGCAAGAGTTTTTGAAAGATCAATCTTCTTTTCCAGGGAATGGTAGGTCTCCAAACCCACGTTTACTTCTTCCGGCGCCACCCAATCCCGGGACAATCTCTGGGCGACATGACAGTTATGGAGGGCAATCTGAATTCTCGGTGGCAACAACGATGACAGAGGGATATTCAGAGAGGGGTTCTGAATTTGGATCACAATGTACATCTTTGGAGGATCTGATAAGCGCAACAGAAAGTGGGATACATACTCCGTCTATCTCAATTGATTTGGAAGCCTATTCGGACCAGTTTGAGAAAAAATCACAAACTGATGAAGCATTTAGATTGAGTGATACAGGTTCTACTCGGTCATTACCGATGTCGAATTCAATGGCCGATCTTGTATCTTTGGGAGAATGGCCGGAACAACAAGAAGAACAAGAACAAAAACCAGAACAAACACAAAAGAAATTGAACGTAAAATCATCCAAGAACTGGGAGCTTGAGCTAGTAGAGGCCGTTGCACCATTGACACAACCTTTGCCTAATGTAGTCAAGGGTTTTGAGGCCTTGCCGGAAAAAGAACACAAGGTACAAGAGACGGTGGTGGTAGACAGTGCAAAAGCCGGTTGGGAGGTTGTGCTTTATGAAATGGCCGCAACACCATCGACACAGACACAACCCACCCCCAATGTACCCAACGTCTTGGACACTTTTTCTCTGGACAGTTTATACAATCAACCTTCATTGCCAGCACAACATTACAATCCATTTCTACAGGATACACCTGAATTAACCCCCACATCAACTGTCGCCACCACCACCACCAATACCACTGCTGCTCCTGCAGATTTCCAGGCAGTGTTTCCAGCTGCTGACATCCTTGCCACCACCGTTGCTCCTGCCAATTTCCAGGCGGTGTTTCCAGGTGCTGAGACGTTTTCTTCGGCACCAACATTTCAAGCAGCTCCAACCTTCTCAGCTCAGAATAAAAATGACACCACACTAGCATTGCAAAATGAGAATGACCCTTTTGCGACGTGTTCCACTGCATTGGCTAATGAAGAAATGTTTAACGGGTCCAGGAATCAGCAGAACTTTTTGCATGAACAACAGTTGTGGCTGCAGCATCAGAACAAGATCATAGCAAAGCATATGGCTTGACTTATTAAACAAAAGCGTGTAATTCTATGAATTTCATCCTTTTTTTTTTTCTATCTTACCTTAATCATTCATTTGTGATTACATTTATTTAACAATGATCTCTAATTTTGACCAAACAAAGAAAAAACAAATGTATTTGTGCACTGGGGGAGAAAAAAATTCTAGGGTTGGCAAGGAAGTGTCACAGTTTTGGCGGGCGAGCACAACGGCTACATGAACCCTTTCTTTTTTGTTGTTGCCAGCAGGGCCGGCCCAACCTAGTTTGGGTCTAGGCGAAAATGTTATATAAGATCTTATAAATATTTATTTAGTAATAATAGTAATATTAAATATTTATTAAAATATGTTTATTTACAAATTATTTGTTTTGAGATGTAACTGAGTAACTCAAATTTTAAATTTAAATTTTATAATTAAAAATTGTGTTAATCGAAGTAAAATACGAAAATCAAATACAATGCTACATACTATTTTTTGTTTAAGATAAAAGAGAAATATAATTGAAAATTAGTTTGACTAGTAAAATAATTTCTTTTTCTAAATGTATATAAAAATAGAAATTTATACAAATTGAGTAGTCCTAAAATAATATAAACATGACAGATTTTAATAAGCTCATCCGACGATTTCAAATAGACTTATATAATGGTTATTAACATCTCTCTTAAAACCATTCAAATTAAATTTCCCTCCTTAAATTTATCACTTCTCACTTACATTGCATCATGCCTTCAAGCACAGGTTATTCCTAGTTGCTAGATATCATAGAGAAAAAGAGCTATTTTTAAATAAAAAAAATAGGTAATGTACTATTTCTATTCACTATATTTTATAGTCATCTTGTACTTTGTAAACAAAGTTATTAAAAAATGACCTTAAATTTAATTTATGCAAATCTAAAATTATTATTCGTATCTATTATACGATAGACAATTAATTTTAATAATAAGACTGCAAAATAATAATATATATAATATAAAAATCGGGTGAGATAAAAAAATAAGTTAAACTTTAGAGCCCTAAATTTTTTTGAAAGGAATTCTAAAATTTTTACAATAATACTAGTTGCACTTAATTTGAGGTCCAATTACATTAAATAAATAGTGAATTTTGTTTAAAATTAATAATTATTATTAATTCAATGATTAAAATATATTGAGTATTTAAATTATATTCTAAAATTTTAATTATATATAATTGTTTATTTTATTTTGATGTCCCAAATTTTTCTTCTAATTCGAGTGCCCGAGGCAATGACCTAAAGGTTGGGCCAACACTACCAACAGCCGCCCAAAAGAGAACTGCAATGATCTTAAATTGAAATCTTACAATAAAAAATAGAATTTCCATAAAAATATCGTAGATGTAATATCAGTGATTTGAGCCCCGGTGAAGAAACAAAACTTGTACCTTTCTTCTAGACAGAGACCCATGTTATAAACTGTAAGTAGGATTTATTATATAAAAGTCGTTCTTCTCCAATACTAGATGGATGATCTATCATTGAAAAATTAACAGTAATCTAGATTCAATTTCAAAGGTTCAAATGAAACATTTCAGCCTCAGACAATGAAAATGGGTATGTTGTGACAGCAAAGGGCCACACACAGAAAAGAGAAAAAGCTGTGGTTGAATTGCAGTTTCTGGGGTTTTGACATCTCTCTCTTTGAGGGGAGAGAGAGAGAGAGAGAGAGACCAAGAAAGTCTACATACAAACAAGGCTTCTCTTTCCCCCCAAAAGGAAAATACACTTTATGTCTCTTTCCTCCAATCACATGGTAACAGGGTTAGGGGGTGGCTTGCCTTGAATCCAACGGCGGAGTTCATTTGAGTACTGGAGGTACTCAAGAACAAATCCAATTTGGTCTATAAACAATGATGATTTGCTAATGCATGTGAGCTCTAGGTTGGTCCATCTGCATTAGGGTGTGGCCCACTTCTACTCTGTTTAGCAGCCAAAATATGATCAATTGTATATCATCATGGCTGCTTGATTCCAGCATTCATGCTACGTGCTACTTTTTGGAAGGAAGTGACCTTAGGCATATACCTAAATTTTTTTATTTATTTTTTTTTACGGACGAACATATACATACATCAACTAATCTTTTCTTTAATTCGATCGAAAATAAACCATTTACACCAAAATTAAATAAACAAGTTAGGAGGATTATGGGGACCTACCATGTTATAGTTTAGTATTAGATGATTTCGATTTTGTACGATTCGGTCTAATAGTATTCTGACTCAATAATTTTTGCTCCAATACAATTCCACATTATGTATAAACCCCAAATCTCACCCGCCTCAGCAGAATCATTCGATGCAACCCTAATCTTACGAGACATTGTTATCGAATCAACTGAGATTTTATCGCGACTTCACAATATTATTTAAATCTCATGTCGTGTTTATTGATTCTCTCTATCATTTCGTGCATATCATTCAAATACAACTCTTATGACGCCAGATTCGATGCATCTCAAGTACCCTTTGATGGATGACCATAATCCATAATGCTACCTCGAACCATGCACAACATTAAGATGCAATGAACGACGAGCTGCCCCAGCAGGAAAAGGGATTAAAGAACAAGTTATTTGAGTGAAGGCTACAATCTACAGTTGATATACATAACTTTGTCCTCTGCCATTTTCTGAAGGGTTGTTTTTGCAAAGAAAACAAGAAATTTCAGAGAAGCTTCAAAGGAATAACTTAAAAGAGAAAAAGTATTGGAGTTGGATCCTCGACGTTTAAGATAATTATCATTGTAACTATCAAGTTCAATGGGGAAGAAATACAAAAGCGAGGAACAATTCTGAGAAAATGACACGAGAGGTGTGAAACTTTACAGCTTGTTTATACAGTTTCTTTAAAGGGATATCACAAGACATATGGCCACAAAAGTATCAGAATTTTTCTTTACCTTGCATCAAATGCATTTTGGTAGTGTACCTAACACCCCCGGCCCCCCGGGGGGGGGGGGGGGGGGGGGGGGAGGAAGTGGGGTGCTAGGCATGTGACTATGACCCACACGATTACACATATCTAATCTAACACTGGACCTTTACACCCTTCCCCACTCTTTTACGGTTCCCTTTCTTCCCCATATATCTACGCCAATGCTTCCTCTATCCTTTTTCTTTCTTTTCGCAAAGTCGCATGAACATATGGTCCCCTGTTACAAAACCCGAAAATCATGACCGTCTATTACTGGGTCCATTACTAGAAGTGCTATATCTGAAAGTCCATAATAGGCTATAGCATGGTGTCCAGAGCTCAAGGACATGTACAAGTCAAGCTAACTTGAGCTTGTTGATCACTGTTCTCATCTATCTATTATCATCAGGAATGGCCAGGACCCACCAACTATCACCTGTCTTAAGAAAGGGCCCAGCCAGCTCAATACTCAAAACACTTTTATTACTAGTATCAATTCCCATCATCTGCTAGAATGCATGGGAAAAAAGAAAAACAAAAAACCTTAAACATCCCAAACCTTGATCATTCTATTTTCATCTTTTATTGTACTAACCAACCCCCTATAAATCAACAATTTCTAACAATTAAGCATTCAACATCACCATCTAAAGAGCCCATAGATTCCCATTCTTAGGATCCATTAAATGAACCTCAGAAATAAAGAATAACGAAAATGTTATTTGAACCTAATTTAGGAACCTCTCGGGACATAATCCAATGCAACTATTGGATTGAAAGTTGGTTCCATCTAATATGGAAACTTACAATTAATTCATTGGCTGAATTGAATTAGGTCCCCAAATTAGATCCCTATAGTAGTGCTCAAAGAATAATAGACATGTATTCACATAGTTTCATCACAACAAGAAGACCAAATCCAATTCAGAAAGCATACCAAATCAAATAAGCACTTTCTAATTAGAGCTTGGCCATTACAAAGAAGACAAACAGTCTGGGATTTACATTATCAAACAAAGATTCTAAAAAATTTTAAAAAAACAAAAGAGGACACAACAAGCATCACTCTCTTGTAGCTTCAGAGTCAACCAATTTGCGACTAACAAAAGAAGAGGAAAACAAGGATACTCCACAAAAACCGCATCCATGGTGTTGTCATATAATTTTCAATAAATAATTTTTACGTTTCAGAATAATATAGAATAAGCCAGAACCTTGGGTATACCAGGTGTGGGATTTGTTCGTTTCTTGCACAGGACAGTAGTTTCAACTTTGACAGTTAGAAAAATCCAAACGACCTCCTGCGTAAAATCACAAGACAACCAATGTCAGCACAAATAAAAATTGAACAAAATGAATAAATTTTCATGAGCATCATGTGACATCTACTCCATGTCACAATCTATCAATGTTATACCTACCCAAAGAGGCATTCAATAACTTCAGGAAGTAGAGATAACAATTCCATCAATGCCAAGCTGAGAGGTTGGACTAATAGCAATACTACATTAATTGAAACATAACCAGTCCCCCAAAAATCATACACTAGGATGATCCAGCGGTAGGGTAGCTGATCAAGTTGTTCTATAGATAACAATTTTTGGAGCAACAATGTCATAGTTGGAACTTTCACTCTACACACTGAACTTACTTCAACCATGAACCACCTACTTGTTTCTTACCTCTAGGGTAGGCTGTAGATCACTAAAATGAGAAACCCCCCCCCCCCCCCCCCAAAAAAAAAAAAAAAAAAAAAAAAAACAACAATACTTGATGAACAATCTATTATTGATGGTATTGAGAGAAATATGAATGGGGTACAAATCCTCATCTGCCAGTAAATATGAATTATGATAGGCACCTCTATTAACGGGTGAGACTCGATCCCAAATTGTACTTCGGACCATCAAATCCACTTCACTCTTGTTCAGTAGAATCCGGTCAGTCTAGTTTAAAAGTTATTTTAGGCAACAAGTAAATGCTAGGTCTGATAAAAAATTTCCATTCCATCACCAAAATATAGAAATCATTGGTTGGTGGGTCCTTCACAAAAGATCAAATAAAAAAAAACCCAGATAAATTTGATTAATTAAGCATTTTCCAAGAAAAAAGTTCCGTAATTAAAATTAATTGGGGTATACATGAAATGATTTGTTCCAATCTATTTTTGGGTAAAGAAAGTCAGGTGATGGGGCCATGTCTATAATACAAGGGCAATATTGTCTTTCCAACAAGAACACAGGCGTAATTAATAAAACAGTTACTCCACGAGCCAACCACATGATAATTAATTAGTAAATAAACAATTCAGATTATTATTTTATTTTGTTTTGCCAGATAATTAATTACCTTTCGTTGGCGGGGGTTAGTTACTTTGCAGTTTATTCCCTCCAAGTCCTGCTGAAAATACTTTTCAGCCTATTCCCGGAAAGTCTCTGTAAAGCCTTCTTAGCTCCGGCGACCTCCCTTTCCGTCAACCTCTGCAAATACCCATAAGCCCCGGCGGCCACTAACTTCTTCCGGCACCCCTGACTCCCACCACCCATTACCGCCGATACCACCGCCAACGGAAACTTTTTGGAAACCAATTCATTCCTAGGATCAAGCATCTGAACCAATCTCATCAGACTCTTCTCATCTCTCACCAAATCTTTCCGATTGGATCTCACCGCCAACAGCGAAACCAATGCATTCGCAACCACCTCCTGAATGCCATCAGGCTTGACTGATTCCATTAGCTTCAGTAATGAACCCATACATCCAGAAATAGCCCCTTTGTTGCCATCACTCATCGATAAATTAGCGAGCAACGAAGCAGAAATATGCTGTAAAACTATGTTTCCTTGCTTTATAATCTCTGCTAATTGTATTATAAACGAAGTTGAAGATGATAAAACCCGAGAAGCTGATTCGGAAGCTGAAAGTGAATAGATAGCTCGCAGAACGTGTTCTACCGTATCTGAATTCGACGACTCATGAAGCAATTGCAATAGTCTTTGCAATCCCTTATCTTGTAGCAATATTAATTCTCGAAAATTCTCACCGGAGGAAGCAAGAATTGCAATACAATTTGCCGATTTTTCTTGAGTCAAGGCGGTGCCTGAATTAAGCAATTGGACTAAAACAGGAATAGCCCCTTCTTCCGCCAAAGAAACCCTAATATCTTCAACGGTTGATACATTTCTGATTGCCCCAACCGCATGTGATTGTGCTGCAATTGATCCGGACTTACACACTTCGATGAGTATAGAAACTCCGCCGTAGGCTGAGATAGCCCAAGCATTATCAGAATCGGCGGTGATGGCTTCGACGGCCATGGCTGCTTTTTCCTTCAATCCCATTGAACCTGACTCGATGATTCTCAATAACGGTCCCAATCCTCCCTCTTCAAACACGCATTTTCTGGACAGATCGTTAGCGGAAACTAAAATCGATACGGCTGAAACGGCATGTTCTACTAGTGAAGGATGGGTATTCAGATCAAGAAGATGAACCAAATAACCAACATTGCCTTCCCTAGCCACTAAACTGGCCGATTTTTCATCATCAGAGAGAAGTTGAAGCAGAGACTCCATGGCCTTTTTCTTGAACTCAATGCCTCCGATCTGTAATCTTGTGAAGAGGTCCTTAATATAGAACCCCAGATCTTCTTTAGCCGAGCCTGGACCGGGTTGAGAGAGCACGATGGCATTGGATTGACGGAGGACGCCGGACCGGAGGAGCAAATCGAGGTCCTGAATTTGCTTAGAGAGCCAGCCGGTGGCCATGTCGAGGTCAGACTGCATGAGGAGCTTGCCGGGGTTGAAGGAGGGGTCGGAACATTGGTCACAGAGGGTCTGGACGCGGTGGAGCGTGGAGAGGAGGTTGGGGAGGAGGGTTTGGAGAAGAGGGTTTTCGGACCAGTGGGGAGAGTCGGAGATTTCGGAGATGGAGGATTTGAGAGTGGCGAGCTTTGACCGGATGATTTGCCAGCGGGTAGAGAATGATTTGACGGAGAGTGAGTAGGGGAGTAGATGGCAGAGAAGTGTGGTAATTTCGTCAAGGGTTTGGGTTGTGGTCGGTGGTGGTGGTGGGTTTGGTGGCGGTGGTGAGACCGTGGCGGGATGCATTGGGAATTGGAGGTGGAATTTCAACACCCGGATTAGGACCGGGATGAGTTCAGATTCAGCATAGATATTTGAAGGGGGAGAGAGAGAGAGAGAGGTCTGACGGAAGAATAGAGAAAAAGCAAAGCAACCGAGAGTGTTGTGGAGTAGATTCCAGGTTAAGAGAGAGAGAGAGAGAGACGTGAGCGCGTAATAAACTGGTGTGGATGATCACTGGTGTGGTGACAAGTCGGGAGATTGTGTGAAGTTTACCTACGCCGTTTGAAGTTAATGCAATTGGTATTCTTCGGGTCAGGCTCCATTCCGGGTCGATAATGGATGAATTAAATTTGACCCTAATCATTACTGAATATTTTGGATAAATTACACTAGCATCCCCTAATTAGTAATTACACACCCCACGCATGACATCTTCACTATGACACGGTGATCCACAGCTTTTGAAAAAAATTGTCACAAGATCATTTTCATTATACCAAAAAGATGATATGGACGAGAATAATATCCAAGATGTTATAATTCATGTACCCATACCTCCACTCATCTTCTTCGTCTCTATCACTGTAATTAAGGATGTCAACTCTATCACATTAAATGAGTATGTGTCGAGTTTAATCGAATTTATTTAAAAAATCATTCAACGCGTACATTATTCGTTTAATTAAATGAGTGAAACAACATAATTCGTTTAACCTATTTAATATTTTTATTATTATTATAATAAAATTTTAATTATTAATTTTTTTAATTGATCTAATTATTAATTTTATTTAAACTAGATGACATATCTTACCCGAACACAATCCTAAATTTGCTTAAATCTATATTAATTTGTGTCATTTAATCATATTGTATTGCATTTTGACAAGTCTACATGTGATAACTTAATCTCGTATCGAATAGTAAAGTGAATATGGACTAGTACATAAAATGGGATCTTTGTACATTCATTGTATAACACATTTTAATGCCATTTTGACCTAAGTCGAAGCGGATAATATTGTGCAATATAAGTCCAGGAAATTACAATCACAAACACACACTCAATAGACACCAATGATAGTGGAAAGCGTTCATCGAACTCTAGACGCCTTGATCAACTAGATTGGTGCCTCCATCGTCCGATAGACATCTGCAAGGACAAGCCGAAATTCGAATTGGCTCTGGCGTCGACCCTCTTATGGCTAAGTTAGAGAGAGAGAGAATTGAAATAGTTCGGAAAGCTAGTACTGGTGTTAGATTCACTTGCCTTGCTCGTCTTCACAGACTTCCCTCTTATAGGCCTTTTTGTTACGTCCTTGGTGAACCATCCTTCACTTATCTGAACCGAGGCAATTGCACATCACATGTTTTAAATTAGTTTTACTAAGTAAGTAGAGGTAGTGGTTGAGTTGAACTAATCAAAGTTTTTATACGTCTAGAGTTGTTATATAGTTGACGAATTGAAAATAGTCTGAACTATGAAATTTGACAATTCGAACACGTGTCTTTTTTCCAGCTATTAGTCACGACCATTCACCAGCCACCACTAGCACTCACTATTGCCCATAACCCTCCCTCGTAGCCGCAACCCATCATAAACCAAAACTCAAGTGCTATTGTCTAGAAACTAAACAAACCTTAAGCCTTTTCCTTTTTCCCTCCACCCACGCAGTTGTAACTCTATTATCCTTTCTTTGTTGTCAAAACCAACATCGAAAAATAAGTCAATAACGTACAAAAAATGGCGTCATAAGATCTTTGATCCCTAGTAATATATAAAATAGGAGAAATCTCCCTTTACCCCTCAAATGAAAAATGTTGTAACGTGCTTATTCGATTAGCTTCGGTTGTTTATTCCATCAAAATTTATCCTATTGACATTCACGAAAAAAGAAACGAAAGTTGATTCTAAATGAAGGGGGGACATTATATCAGTGTGTCTTATTTAAAAAAGTTGATGGAACTCCTTCATCTAATGATCCCTTTTATTTATGATGAAAATTTGAGTTATATAATATTTTTCAACATCTTTTATGCACAAACCAGGAAACCTCACTTTATTTTATATGACTTTGACTAAAAGAGAATAACAATTACGAAAAAAATATAGAGTAATAATTTGAAAAATACTGTGAAATAAAGAAAAAAAAATATCGATAAATTAAAGGGAGATACTTTTTATTGGAGAAGTATACCCTCAGGAAAAAATCTTGTAATGTCGTCCTGTTAAAACAAATTAGTATATCGAGAAGATAAGCCTTAATTGAAACTCAAAATTGTAAGGATGTAATTTTTATATTTAGAACTTTAAGGAACAAATAAGAATATAGTGTATACTTTAAGTGTCACACCCTAACTGATTTGGGTGCAAATGGCCGGTCTTTGTGACACCTTGCACCAAGGCATGCCATAAGTTGGAATCAAGGTAATGTGATTAAGTGGTTCAACAGATTGTGACGAACCAAGACAGTATGAGAATACCCGGTTGAGCATGACAACAGGTGGTGGGTTCAATTGGAGCAATGTGGGTGCATAGCTTCGGATTGCATGACATGGGTTGAACCCAGCATGCACATTGGTTCATGTAGCCAGGCTGACTGCTGAATGTGGGCACTTGACTGGCACATGGCTGCTGAATATGAGTACTTGACTGACACATGGTTGTTCAATGCATGTGACCAGGAGGATATGAGCGGTTATGATGTTGAGACACAATCAAGGCAGTTGCTGAGGCAGTTTTAGGCATCCCTAGTCTAAATCTAGTCTAGATACATGTTGATGAAGGACAGTTCCACAACAGTTACTGGAAGTGGTAGAACTGCTTATCAGGTGTCGCACGGAGACCAAGTCAGCTAGCCAGTATGCTATGGAATAGCAAAAACGTGTGTAACTACCCCTTGGCAGATGGGGTGTAATCTGCCTTACTCCTGTATAAATAAGGGTGCTTGAGCATTCTGATAAGGTAGAGAGTGTTCTGGCTTTGAGAGTCTTTTTAAATTGTTGAGTTCAATATATAAGATTTGAGAGTTTTGTCCTAGTAAACTCGTGTGTGCCTTCTGTGTGCGTTTCTGTCCCTTATTCTTGAGTTTGAGTGTGTCTGGTTGCAGTAGCAACGCCTTTACAGGTAGCCTCGAAGGAAAAACGAAAGTTACTCTGTGACAGTTTGGTATCAGAGCGTGGTTTGGGCAACAAATCAACTATGGTTGGCAGAATAAATGCTGATTTGAGGGAAAGGATGACACGTTTGGAGGAATTGGTTGGTCCTCCACTGTCCGATGATGTTGTGGCTCTCTATGTGCAACTTGAGTTGTTGTATCAACGATTTGAAGAGATGCGGGTTGCACATGAACAACTTCAAAAGACTGAATCTGATCACTTCAATCGAGTGAAGAACGAAGTCGTTGACGTGCTGGCTACGATCTCCACATGGACCGATGATATGGGGGAAAGATTGAGTTCCCATGAGACAAACGTTTCAGTGCTCAAGAAGGCACTGCAGAATGCTTCTTTGGCTTCTGGCAGTGAAATCACTCAGAAAGCCAAAGTGCCTGACCCTAAGCCTTTCACAAGCAGTCGTAATGCTAAAGAACTCGAGAATTTTCTGTGGGATATGGGGTACTACTTCAAAGCAGTCCGCACTTCGGATGCTGAGAAGGTAGATCTTACTAGCATGTACCTATCTGGTGATACTAAATTATGGTGGCGAACACGTTCTGAGGACAAATCTCGTCCTCCAATTACTACTTGGGACTCTCTGTTCGCTGAAATGAAGGAGCAATTCCTTCCCAGCAACACGGCTTGGCAAGCCCGTGATGCATTAAGGAAACTTCGTCATACAAGCACCGTGAGCGAGTACGTGAAGTAATTTTCGTCTCTGATGCTTGACATCAAAAATATGTCAGAGGAAGACAAGTTGTTCAACTTTATGTCTAGTCTCCAAACTTGGGCACAGGCAGAACTTCGTCGGCAAGGGGTGAAGACTTACCTGCTGCTATGTCCGCAGTAGATGCGTTGGTTGACTACAAGACACAGGCTAACCCTCCAGAGAAGGAGTCGAAAGGAAAAGCCAAGTTCCCTAAAAAGGATAAGCAGAAAAAAAAGGTTGAGAAGTTTGGCAATTCAGAAAAATTGACTGACAAAACCTCTTCATCAAAGGGAGGTGTTGACTCAGGTTGTTTTATCTGTAATGACCCTTATTGTGCCAGAAATTGCCCCAAGAAGGAAAAGCTCAGTGCCCTCATGGTTGAGGAAACTGACTGTTTTGACGAACTAACACGAGTCAACCCATTACAACTCCTTAATGCAATTCGCAAAGAGGAGACAGTGAAAAAGAGGGGGTTGATGTTTGTGCAGATTCGCCTGAACAATGTGACTGTCCAGGCAATGGTTGATACAGGTGCAACCCATAATTTTGTTTATGATCGGGAAGTACAGCGGCTTGGTCTGGCTTTGGTGAAAGACTCTAACCAGATTAAGGCTGTGAATTCAGAGGCAAAACCAGTAGACGGCGTTGCAAGAGAAGTCCCTTTAAAAGTTGGTGATTGGCAAGAATTATGTGATTTTATGACAGTCCCTCTCAATGATTTTTAGGTAATCCTTGGACTGAAATTTCTTACAAAGGCAAAGACGTCTGTTATGCCGCATTTACATGGGATGTTCGTGATGGATATGCTCAATCCCTATTTTGTTCCCCTCACTAAGGCTAAGTCTTCGGGAGAAATGCTATCTGTCTTGCAAGTAAAAGATGGCTTGCGAAAGGGGGAAGCAACATACTTGGTTGTTCTATTTGAGGAAGAGGAGTCCAAAGTATTGCAAGTCCCTGAACCAGTGCAACAATTACTGGTTGAGTTCAAGGACGTGGCACCTAAAGAATTGCCAGCAAGGTTACCGCCAAGACGGGAGATTGACCATGTCATTGAGTTGATTTTAGTGGCAAAAATCCCTGCCCAGGCTCCTTATTGAATGTCTCCATCAGAGTTGGCGGAGCTAAGGAGACAGCTTGGAGGTTTATTGGACATTGGGTTCATTCAACCTTCTAGGGGCACCCTATGGAGCCCCTGTTCTATTTTAGAAAAAAAAGGATGGATCCTTACGGTTTTGTGTAGACTACAGAGCGCTCAACAAAGTCACTGTCAAGAACAACTATCCAGTGC